GAATTCCAAATGTTGAAAAATGTTGGTTTTCAAAAGCAGTAATATTTTGCTGTTTTATTTATTACAGCAAAACAAACATTTACACTTTTGACATTAATGTCCCCTTGAGGTGCATTTGGTGGCCTTTCGTTTATTTGATTTCCATCACAACAATAGACTTATACGAAGTGGCTGAACATACGAATCTAATGACGGTGAATTATCATATATTGAACACATTATTGTTTAGCAAGAATAGTTACATAAATATCCAGAAGACTTAACTTCAACAATATTCAACTTAATTAGCAAATGATTGACCATTTCAAGTTGCCATAAATAGTGTCAGACTTGTGTCGTCATGATAATTCCGGCTTAATTTCGATCAGTGTGATAACAAATGTTAAAACAAAACTTACCCATGCAATCCACCATCTGCACAGTACTGTTGAGCTTTGACCAACTTAAGTCAACAGACTATTAGTTACAAAACTTTTCGATCACTGCCCGGTATATTGCTAAATAATCCAGCTTACGGAGAGTGTAATTTACATGTCATGTAATGCCATGCCATGTCTCATCTACTTTGTTCTCTGGATTTAATGGAGTTTATACCCCAACGCACTCTATTATTGCCAATGATTGTGGAAAGTTATATACAACAAATGCTTACCTATAAACAAGCTTAAACAAAGTGTTTCTGATATCCTAGCTGAGAACACCCCCAGCTCCAAACCAAGATTGTCTCACTGTACAACTGAGAACAAGATGGTTCCAAATACACCAACACCCTCTTGATCAGTACATCATGGCCCGCTTCTCCGTCAAGATAGTATTACACGAAAATATGGTAACATCCAACCCCACAAGCGATCCTTCTGCATAGCAGCAACTTCTCCAATGCTCCCAGCGTTATATTATGTCTTCTATCTTATTTACTCGTGTGTGTTGTCTCAGTGTGTGTTTCATTAGAACACGTTTACGAATTTCCAAAGTTTCCGGCAGTAATTTTCACGATGATGACAAAGTCATGTATTTATATTGAAGTACATGTTCTGCTAATTCAAGTAGTTTTCTCGCTGTGGAAGTATTTATAAGTAATAAATAAGAAAGTCAATCACACGCATTGACCATACGTTTAGTAACAAATTCACAATAACACATGCTATGCTGACACCCGTGTGAGAGTGGTAAATCCCCTGCTTGGTTAGGAAACACATTAAAGGGGAGCAGAGGTGTGGCTTTTGTCACTCCGTACATGAAATTTGAGATCTATGAATGAATTCTGGCGGTAAAAAAAACTTGTATGTGCTGCGAAATGCCCTAAACATCGAGTATAAAACGGGCTGTGAAGTAGACGACAGACGTCCTCTTTGCATGGCGTTATTTCGTTTCTAGGAGCAAGTCAATGACGTCATCCGTGAACACTGATAATTGAACACATTCATGTAAGTACGTCAATCCCATAGAAGTGCTACTATGAAAGACGGTGTTTACTGACAATTTAAAAGTTGAAACATGATGAGGTGTTGTGCGAAACGATTCATGTTGAGTTTCTCGAAATCCCGAGATGAAACGCCACTCGAATGATTATACTTTTAGCGTGAAATGTTGGGATGAAACCAGAGAAATACATTACTGTGCAGCCTCGATTTTGAACACTATTATTACTATGAATATTCCTTCCGTGTTTCAATGAGAATTACATTATACATAAATAGTTAAACATAATTTACTATAATACATGTATTAAAGGCAGCTCAGAGTCTGCCTCAGGTATAGACTGGCGGCGGGCATTTAACATGGTCGTGCTTTCATCATGGAGACCCCCAACGTAAACTTGTACGAGATGGTAGTCCATCAATGGTTTCACTGTGGCACGCAGACACACGGGTGTAAACAATTTCACACAGAGACACAGTTACGTAAATGAATTCACGGTTACTGAACCACTCATACAATCCATTAACTACGCACAGATGCACCTTTAGGGACAATAGCATTATTCTGCTTATGAAAATGTTTCATAAGGCAACACTTTTCTTCACTGACAGTGTTGAAAATACATTTAATTTTACTTAGAACAAAACGAAAATATAATATATAAAATTACTTGACAAAAGCGCCACACACATACAAATGACAGCGCCACCTATTGGACTGTGATTCTAGCATTGCGTAATATGCGTTGTAAGATAGCATATTTCATTTAAAAATACGAGCATCACCAAAGTTTCTCATTGCGAATTTTGTGACGGACAGCAATAGTACTACTTGAATGCTTTCAAAAATGTCAGACCCCCCGACCACCAGTATATTCCACTATATTAAATCAGCTTATTTTACCTGTTATTGATTGATTTTTTTTTCATCCAGGGCTTTGTGTCAACATTACCAAAGTAAATTTTGTGAAGATCATACGTTTACAGCGGTAGTTATTAAAGGAATTCGTCAATATTTGCAGATCTGGATGGAGATGTAAATATCGCCACCAGGCGGTAATTCGTAACACTAGAAACGTGACATTTTTAGATGTTTCATTTTTAATAACGTCTAATTAGAATAATAATAAGTTTTTGATACATTTTGATGTGTCAGAATACGTAAACAGGGACTGGGATCAGGTGCAGTGGGATTCCATTTGTTCTGACCAACGACTCCTTATGAAATCGACTTTGAATTAAACAACATTTTTTTTCTAAAAAAACCCCAAATAAACCATAGACCCTCCTCTACTGGAGGGTCTATGAATAAATACATAATAATATTATATACACAAAAAATACTCAATATAAAACATACATAATAAGGCAAAATGTAAACAAGAAAATAATAAAAAAAAAACGAAGGAAAATGAACTTGTTGAACTTCACAGATTCGGTAGTTACATAAAAGAACGCATTAGAAAGCAATGCTTTAAGATATGCGTATTTCATATCTTCTTTCTTTTCATTTTATTTTTAACACAGAGACAAGATAGTGCTATGGCAATTATGATTTAAACACCGCAGGTTGGAAAAAAAATATTCTACCAGGATATCTCAGTCCAGAATAAGGACAAACTAATATTATAATTTAAGATTTCAATTCTAACAATCCAAATACTTTTATAAGTAAAGTGTGTGTCAATATGGCATTTACCAGAAATATTTGTTCCTCATCTTTGCACAAACGATGAAACCATGACATGTTTTAATCAATCAACTATTTCCTTATAGTTTGAAGTCTATTCCTAAAAATACTCAGATGTGTTGACTGACAACTTCGAGTGTTAACACGTTCAAGAGTTGGGACTGCTCGCCCACCATCATGCGATACATGGTATGTACATATGAGTTCTTAGAAGCTTCTTGTCGGCGACTGCGTGTATATGTCTGAGCGGGATCCTGGATATATAACGTGGGTTCGATCATTTAAGTCAGTAGTCTTGAATAATTCAACGAACTGGCATCCAATAAAAATGCTGTAGGACTGGAACTATATGTGCATACTTTATGGAACGAATTACCGTAACGACTCTTGCAGCTGTATTTTAGTACGCTGTGAAACGGTAGATACTGTTTTCTGGAAGTCCGTATAGTAATGCATTGTCAATTGATTTGATATGTTGTTTCTTTAAGATTTCTCTGATGTGTACAATACGACGAGAATGACAGTAAAGAGAATTGCAAGTTTGTTTTATGTGGTCATTATCAATTGTTATTCGATATTAGAAGCATATTGAACTGTGTCATTGGTATCAATCAGAATAGCGGTTGAACTTTGATCGAATGAGTAGGAATTATGTTTTAATATACTAGTAACTGATTTTAAGCTTGTTTTTTATAATCCAGTCCTTGATATCATCGGTACAAGCCTCAATTGCGGTGAACTACTGAAGATGAATTAGTATAAAAGAAAGCAAGGTAAATTCGATTATTATCTGCGTATTAGCGGAGGGTAGGTTGTACACGAACGAGGTTTTGTAACAATGATATACAGATTATGAATAAGATTAGACCAGATACTAAACCCTGTAGCACCCAGAACGTAGATGACACGTCCCAATCTTCAAAACAAGACCCTGGAGCCGCAAAACCATAAACAAAAACCATCTTTGGCAAGATATGCTGTGCGTCACTCAATAGGCCTGTCGTTACATTTTTTTTTTAAAAAGATAGATACAATTATCTTATTGTCAGAAAAAGTTACCAAAACGAATTGCAATACGTTGCGTCTGAATACACAACATTATCATCGTGTTGCATGAGATTATCAAGTACGTGGTTTGTGTTGCTGATGAACAATATGTTTCTGACCCTGTGGTAGAATAGAATTAAATTATGAATACCATTGTATTATGGTTTATCTGCAACGTATTTCCGCACCACGGATTGTATTATAACAATTAACATTCAGAAGGCACGAGTTTGCACATTCAATCCGCGACCGTAATCCTTCTCCTTAATATCCACTGTTTCGGGTGCATACCGACAATAAATAAATTAATCTGCAAAAGGAATGAATTGAATCAATCTGACAGCAGGTACCAAATATAAAAGTTTTAAAATCGGACGAAAAACGTTATTCTTATTTTCAATAAGAAGTCGAAAAAAACGTATCCTTACCAAAATTTACAAAAATATTCACTAAAATAAAAAAAATGAAGTTGTTGTCACAAAATGACCAATCTGACGGAAGTCTGCCCAAAGTGTCACCATATAACATACCAAAGCAAGTGGGCACTTCATTTTCAATTATAAAAAAATAGCACTTGTTTTCCAAAATGGACAAAATATTCACTAACAAAGTCGAAAATGTGACGCCGATGACGGAAAACTATTGTCAATCAATGACATGAATAGTCCCGCTCGTCAAATTCAACAGCAGACCTGATTATTGGTTTGTTAAATTTTGCCTAAAAACACATGATTGATAAAATTCAGTGTGGGTGGAAGATATTAAACGTGGAAAAACACACATTCAGCACACATACACAAAGACAAGACACACATGCAATCAAAAATCAGAGACAGGTATTATACAAAACGTATTTAAATCCCGCACGTTAGCTGTACAATGTGTGCATTGAATATATTAGCTATACATAGAACGTTTTTGTTCCATTTCTAAAACTTTATAAACAACATCAAAAAGCTGACATGTCTCTGAACTTATCAGCAACATTTGGATAAACAGCTTTGATTTGAACTAAAGGCAAATTATTAGTGAACTGCATTCCCAGTTTATTATTTATCCACGTAATTGTCATTTTTCATTGAACCTTACCTTGTAATTGACATGCTAATAATAACACTGAATAAAACAAACAGCAGTTCATGTTATTGCTGTACGCGTTTTAAAATAATGTAAAACCATTTTTTTTAGAATAAGGCACGAATTAAAGAGCTGTTAAACTTTAAAACAACGAACAAGCATACACGTCCTACTACGATCAGTTGCCGATTTGGCAGTCATGTTGGCTACAGCGAATCCATTATTGCGGCTGGTCGAGTGTTCAGACATCCACGATACGGGTTCAATGTGTCGTCATGGTAAATAACGCCGCATGGACGGGTCACTGTACACTCATATTATACCCACGATAAACATTTTATGAAGGCGTCGTAAAAAGCGCCAGCTACGACACTATGAGTTTAAAAATTAAAGTCGACTTAATTCGGCATGGCATATAGGTGGTCATGACAAAAATGAAAAGGGGACAAGTTCAGATTATACAGAATACAGCGTTTGACCAAAATACATCAAAATAGTCAACGCCACATTGTAACTTCAATTGACTATGTATAAAAAATTGATAAGTTTTTTTTTTCTTTGTTTAAACGTTTGTCCATACAAATTAATTTTAGTGCTGTGGTTGGCGCATCTGGAAGAACATACAGTAATCAGAACAGTTATAGAAATTCGGCCAGTAATACTGAAAAAACGTGGAGGGCTGGAACCAGTCACGTGACATTATTCAAAACTGAAAAGTGTCAAGAGTATCATACAATGTGGTGAATAGAATGAAAAGAGAACAATAGAAAACCTTTAAGATTCAAATTGTCAAAAAGTTAAATCTTATAATCTGCGACTGTTAACCAACACTTAATCGTCAAATTAGTTTCCCCTTGAAGTTAGGGGATAACCTCACATCGTTATTGGATTAAAACTTCCAGAATGTGCCACCATTACAAAAAACGGGTGTAAAAAGACAAAAATCTTCAATAAAATATCACATATTGAAAACATGTACTTTAGAATTAGTAACGTTTCAAGCGAGATACGATAAAGAACAACGATTTGTCACTACGGAAAAACCAAGGGGTTATGTGTGAAACGGACATGGAAGTAAATTATGACTTAAACAGAGAGTCAGTGATGGAAGACGGCAATTCCCATTTCCACGTTGATGGCGGTATGATACAGATTGAACACTGACGACGGAGTAGATTTTACACAATTACATAACACGAGCGGCAATTCACTCGAATCCCGATTGAAGCGTTCAATACATTGCAACTGCCCAAAAATATAGAAACATCAAAACATATTTTTAACAAATGAAAATAAAAAAAAAATGTTTATATACATCGTGAGTGTTTTTTACAAGAATTCTAGAAAAAGTGTTTTTCTCATATACATAGAAATGAAAATATTTCGCAAAAAAGAATGGATTTTGTGAATATTATAGATTTTCGAAAACGTCAGTTGTCATAAAAATAGTACTTATTATATTTACATGTTGTTTTTACATAATTACTAAAGCGATTTTTTTTACATACAATCAATACTTACACTACTAATAATTATGAACTAACTGACTATAATATTATACTATATTAGATTAATTAACATTCACGAAGTAGGGGTAACTGGGGGATGTAAATGACGCTGAAGTTCAGGTGAAGCTAGCCTCCGTCGGGGTGGCGACTGTTGGCGAATACGACCACTAGAGCCACGTCTCGGCGTTGGTGTCGCTGTTCTGGCATAATAATCGGCTTCTTGTTGATGCTGACGTGCGAGGCATTCTGCCAAGACCGTGGGTAAACTATCAAGCTGCGTTTGTATTCTATCTAGCTGCTCCTCGATTCTTACCACTCTGTCTTCTAATTCACCATTGGAGCCATGTAAATCTGATACCAACTCGAACATGGAAGTTTGTGTCTAAAAATATAATGAAGAAGTGTGAATCAAAACGAGGCAAATAGCCCATGATGCAATTCAATAGTTATACTGGATTAGATCAGTTGTGAATTAACAATTAGTTGGGGGATTGATTGAACAACCCCAAGGAAGGTGCTACGTTATTATATCTTTGTGAAATCCAAAAAATCCTAGCCCCGATCTGACACAATAATTATTTCATGCGACTAGTCATGCATTCAAGTTGTTATTATCAAGCACACCAACAAGTAGCTAGGGTAGCTGTTTAACAGACATCATAGAGACCACGTAACTTCCTTCACGAAATCACAACATTCACATCAGGGGTACCACAAACACGTAAATTGTATAGACACGATATCACCTGACAGGAGAAACAAAATACACACAACGACTGATCAGCAAAGTTTAATAACACAATGCAGCTGTTCACTAAAGGTGATATGTGAGAGGGTGCAGGTTTCAAACTCAATTGTATAAATGCACTGGCGTGCATAAATTAATAATTAAACAACAAACAAACAAACAATTAAATAAGGAGTGGACAAAGCACACCACACAAATAATAAAGTTGAAAAAAAAATACAAACTGAAAAAGCAGCCCACCTCCAAAACCTTCATTGAAAAGTAGAATCCATGAAAGAAATAAAAAGTATAATAAGAAAAGTGAATAAATCAATGAAAATAATTGCATAAATAATATTAGTAGTAACTCGTGTGTATTCCGCTGCTCCTGTGAGTTGACATCGTGCTGTCACGTGATTTCATTTATGCAATAGGGCGAATAGATATTCCAATAAAAATACGGTACCACTGTTACAACAGAACTGATCTTCGTTTATTGAATCTTCTTAAAAATTAATCACATAATACTCAAGTGGATTCCGTGAAATACTGGCCAAAATAACTGACGCAGTTTATTTATTTTTTATTTGTTTTTGAATCGCAATGAGAACAATCAGGCTAGCATAATACCTTTTAGCACCAAACCCTTTACAATAGCCGTAAGGAACGAATGATGTTGACGATGCATACGGGCACATATAATCCAAAGCGATGTGCATTGTCACACGTGACGTAAAACTCGAGTTTGTTATTCCGCAAATTGAGTGCTCAGTTAAAATATATCGGTCAGGGATACCATTTCGTTTTCCATTAAAAACTATCGATTGTATTTAATGCGAATGACAAAGGTAGACCGACGAATTTAATTTTTTTTTGAGAATTAAAAAGTCCAGTCCATGCACGTTTGAAGTATTATAAAGAGCAGAAGGAAATCTAGTGAGGCATTTGAATTTCCAAATTTGAAAAAGCATATATGTATTTAAGATACAGCAGAATTCACGCCCCATTGGTCGCGAACTGACAGAGTTAGTATAAATAAATTATAAAATAAAAAAAAAAGGAAATTAAAAAACAAAACACATAAAGGGAAACTATGAGTTACAGTACATCAATTTGACGAATCTGGTGCTGAAAGGTACCTGCTTAAAATTCTCGGGAGGTGTTGAAGTATAGATAGCCATGCTATTCAATGAATGGTCTTCTAACATTGGCTAATGACACGGACGGAGAAAATTTAATTAAATATGAAAAAAATTGCTTCAATTTTACAATTTACAATTTTTGTAAGAATGACTGACAACATAACTACAACTATTGATGTATTGGAGGAATGTTAAATGAACACTAATTAAAAAAATAATATCAACACAGGAAACTTAATCTGTAAAAGAAGAAGGTGAAAAACTGCGACATTGAGTGACTCACATAGTACAGAATTCATACGATAATGACGAGTATTGATGAGATAAAAAAATCTTAATCAAGTGATACCAATTGCATACTGATGCAATAACGCATTCGAAATGCCGATATATATATAAGATGATGTCACGTGACTTATATATATAGTACTCACTTTAGCCATGTCAACTAGAGTATTCGCCTGGTCTGCTAGCTTCCTCTGGTCCATCTTTGTTTTTCGGAGTCTAAGATACGAAGAAGATATAAGTGACATACTACACAGGTATGTGGGTGTAAATAGGGAATCGGCAAGCATACATCATGTCTACCATTCAAATGTCTCATCCCAGTCAGGCAAATATTGGATTATGTTTTTGAGATACTTTCTATAGTAGATTTGTAATGTACATTTGAGATCAAAATAAATAGACTAATGCTTTGTGAGTTTCGTATCGTGGGTAGGTATGAATTATTCTAGTGATATGTATTCCAAAATGCCTCAGATTTTCTTTTTTTGGGATGTTTATTATTTATGTAATGGATATTACATTCAAGCAATATACATCTCCATATAGAGGTCTTTACATAGTTAATGATGCTGTATAAAATTTGGTGAAGAGGCTGGCGTGGGTAAAATATAACTGTTACATTATTGCTCAATGGTTGAATCATGTTATTTTGAGCAATGTCTCAGTTAAGTAGGCTGTGGTAGCCATTTTTATCGAGCTCCTTTGCACACCAGTTTAGAAAATGTTAGCCATTTTGTTGAGAGCATGTCCGTAAACCACTGACATGATGGAAAGTGATGATATGATGGACTATTGCCATATTAACTGGATATTTATCCGCCCATGTGCCGGGTACAATAATTGTACGTCGATTTACTTTTGAATGAACACATGTTTAAATGTAACCTTCTAAACTTGCATATAAACCTACTTGTGGATGGCACTCAGGAATTTCCGTTGATGAGATCTCACTCGCATGGCGTTCACCTTCTTGGCTAACTTGGTATACTTGTAAATAAGCCATGTTTCACGTAGAACATTGGCAGCAGCGTTTTTCACCTGCAACCAATCATGGTTTGAGTTACAACGCCGTAGTCGTATTGCAGTACGTTCGTGTAAACAAAAACATGTATTTTTCACACGTTGTATGCGTTGCATGGGACCCTCGTGTAACATGACACAGATAGATGAATGTGGCGCTCTGACTCAACAACTGGGTTTTCTATAATTATACACCACACTTAATTTAATCGTTCTTCCCTTTGAGTCAGGTTGAAGTGACTTGCAATATTGTGTCTGATTGGACACCTAACCCTTACACCTGAAAATCAAGCTAATCGGAACCACTTGTTTGTTGAAATGTTTCTGGGACATATAACATTCTGCCTTATATACATGTTCGATTTAGCTGGTCATTAACCTTCTTTTGAATTAGAGTATTTCAACAGGGTGTGATAAAATAACATAAACGTAAAATTTCACAATAATCCCTTGGGGTCACAATAATGGCTTACCCTTTTTGTGAGCTGCGTGTCCATCATAAAATTGTGAACATGTTTTTCAGCTCTTGTAAGTTCCAGTTTTCTGGCCAAAACAGCCACGACAAGGGCCGTGCAGCCAGCACCCTAAATTTGATGAAAAACGACATTATTAGGTAACTGTACTGTGGGTTATTCATCTGCAACTAAAAGTAATTAAATTAACGATTATCGATATATATTTGTGAATGTTGTTGGTGTTGTTGTGTGTGTGTGTGTGTGTGTGGGGGGAGTGACAAGAAAAATGAACATCCAACAAGGTTGGGTTACTTGAGAAAGTACCCTAGAAATTCGAGATGTTTAGATTGGCAATGCGTCCATCGTGTTAATACACAGCTATATATTGCTACCACGCCAGCTCTGGTGCAGGCAATATAATCTCTCAGTGACTTGTACCACGCGACAGCGAGTAAACCAGGCTGATATTCCGAACTCGTTCGAAAATTCCCAAGCTATTTGTTTTTATTTATTTTATTCCGTGATTAAATATTCTCAGCATGCTTGCATGAAGCAAATTCTGCTAGCAGTTTATAAATTATAAGTTGACATGGGTATGAGTCAGTGGCCACGGAGGTGCACGATGGGATAGATGTAAATAAAATGAATAATGATGACATATTGTAATTAGGCTTGTGTGTACATTGATATCAGCGAATCAACTTACTGGAACATATTTAAATGCACTTCTGGAAAACACTGACTACTCCTCCACATACAACTTCGGTTTTTAACAACCACACACGGAATAATACAGTAAATGCAATGCAATACAATGCACGCCCGTACGTGGGAGCATGCACAACCATTAGAAAGCTGAATACATCCGACTAATTACGTCCTCCAACTTGTGTTTATTTCAATATTGGAATTATTTTTTTAGCGAATACGATGTGGAAAACCCACGGCACTGGACGTAACTTTGGGTTTAATAAGGTTTATGTGTCAATAAACGCTGACACGTCTGTTTTCAGTTTGGGAAGTTGTTTTGGTTTGAACTGAATAGATGATTCGTCTACGCATGTAAGGTCACTTGGGGTCAACCGGAATCCAATTTGCCACAACAGACGTCGGAATATATTTATATACTATTGATGTGTTATATTATCGTGTACACCCTCCGAATGAAATTTAATCACGTATTCGAAGTTGTTGCCAGGACGACCAGCAAGAGATAAAACTGACTCACGCGATAGTCGAAATCTAACACCACAAGGAATCGAAATTGATCTTAAAATTGCACTGAATAGAAATCCATGACGTCATCATATGCATACACGCGTTCTATTCAACGTTTGCTTCAAACATGACGTCATTATAAATTCAAACAAACCTATGTTTTCTTTTAATATTTTTATTTTTTCAAGTTTAATAAATTGAGTTTATACTATTATCAATATACACAATATATATATATATATATAATTAGAACTAATTGACTCCCACAATAGTGGGCGACTCACTGTGAGTGGGCTTAGCGAGATATTCATACACACAGGATGGATAAAAATAACCGTACAAATATATGTACACCATATGGCGTCATACATTAAGCTTTTACGAAGAAAAAGTCGTTTATCGTCCACTCTGATCTGTAAGATGTCATTAAAGTGTTCTGTATGACGCATGAATTTCACGTTAATTTTTATTTTCTTTCATCAGGTTTGGATGGACAGTTACACGTTATGCTTTGATGATTACCAGTGGAGATCAGTCTTGCTTGTCGCAGAGACTAGAATTAGGTCATTCGGGGAAATTCTTTGAGGCACTTGCGTGGGTGGAATGCGTGAACCTTAAATACGTACGG